TTGGTGACAACTTTTAGGTTGCATAACTTAATAGCTCACAGTGATTTCTCCTTTGTGAGGGTAATGTTATCCATCATAGTTATTCCATCTGACTATCTCCAGCTTTTAGTTAAGCTGATAACCTTTCTGATAATGACGACCCAGAATATATCAGCGGACTCCATTATCATGAAAAAATTATGGCACATGGAATTTTAACTGTTGAAAAATCCGATCTACTGTAAACTGATACGCTGATTTGTCTGTCTGTTATGTTACTGATTTCTTAATATTGTCAATAAATCACTCTACTTTGCATCAGATTGTGAATTGACATACTGCTCAGTCTTCATGAGAGACAATTGGTTTTTGAATAGCGTGAGTTGAGTGACTATCACACAAAATTTCATCCTCTACCAATATCATCAAACTATTCTAACATAAAAATCGATAGTGACAAATAAATTTCTTACAATAAACTACGTACTGTGCGGTGTCGTAACAGAATCACATACGAATGTTTTCAACATCTGCAGCCATGATTTAAAATTGAGATTAAAATTTAAATATGATTCAGAAAAGTGGAAATAATTCAACTCAGTATGATAGATAATTCATGCATATCAAGTAGAATTTAAAAGAGTTGGAAACTTCAGAATGAGCAAATGTCAGGATTTCACAAAGATACCAATATGGTGAAATGAAGTTTATTTACCGGTATTGTAATTATTATATCGTATGGTTAAAACTGTCCATTGCAATTATGACGAGGGAAAAAAAAGGATAATGCATATAGGGCAGTAATATTTAGACTGATATTTCCCATACTGAATGAAAAATGAAATTGGCTATTAAGGATTGTTGAATCTAATTCACAATTAATGAATTTATAATATTGGATTTGACTTACTGGTATATTAATTTAAAAATGAAAAACTACAAGATAAAAATAATTCGACTGTGATTTGTGGGAGAGGTTCACGGTCTGATAAATTCGACTGTGATTTGTGGGAGAGGTTCACGGTCTGATAAATTCGAAGCATGTTAATCTTTTGAGTGTTGTAATTTTTCCCGTCAAAATATTGTTACAACAATTTGTAAATTTTTATGTATTTTTCTGTAATTTTGTGGATAATTGTGGACAAAATACACAATTTCCTATTGGCTGGCTACAGGTCTTGATGAAAATTTGGGATAAAATATTGAAACAATTATGTGGGTTTTATTTTGTGGAAGATGACCAAGTTGACTTTGGCATTAACAGGTTTTAATGGACTACATTTCACGGAAGTCGCCATGG